AACTCAATCATATCTTAAATGTTATCATTAGAATTAAACATTTGTTTTAAAACGAGACAATTGTTAGGGGAAAAAAACAGGTAAAAAGAATTTCCAATTTTTTTAGGATTAACTATGATTGGCATCACAGATAAAATTAAACCACTATTAATTAATAAATACATATTWTATAGGAAATTAGTTTTATTATGTAATCTTTCAATTGTAATTGTAATTAATAAAATATATACATACAATAATATCTAACTAGAATWAGTTTGTATTAAAAAAAAATTAGATTTATGTAACTCGAAAATACATTAGTCGAATCAATTTTTACCTTCCTTGAAATTTGTGTTATCGAGACTCGGCTGTATATATTATTATACTCGCGTACCTATATGAGACTATATATGTTCCAAAGTAACGAGATTTGTGTTATTGTTATCGGGTATCATAATTATATTTTATRCTCRACGGCTTAAATTGAAAAATAYAACTTCGATCGTCAATTGTAATGTGTGAGACTGTGAGAACAATCTTGTTATAGTAATAATAATAATAATAATAATAGAAATTGTTATTTGTTCTTTCTGTTCTTCGGTCGGTGCTTACCGTTTTACTGAAAAGACTTGTATAATATATTTTATAGATTACCTATAATATGTAATAGGTGTTTCAGTACAATATTATATTTATAATAGTATACGCGTCACGGCTCTATTTTGTATTCGGCAATTTATATTCTGAAATATTATTATCATCCGTGCAATGATTTGATTATAATATATAGATTAGGTGGTATTCGCGAGTACCCATGTTATATTATATATATTATATATATACTATATAGGACATAGGTATACACATATCATACCCCTGCAAATTAATTTAAATGTGCTTCATGTAATATATATATATATATATGGCAAAGAGTAGTTTGCTCTCTCTCTCTGTGGTGATACTCAATATAATATTAATTTTGTTCATATCGTTAATATTATATTATGCTAACTAAACAAATTTTGAACAAATAGTAATTTTAATAATGAATTTCATATAATTGCTGTGTTCAATAAATCGCCATATATATATATATATATATATATTTATCTATTAACTTAGCTTTTCAAATATATTCGGCCATGTAGATGAATAGATGCCATACCAAAATAGACGAAGTACTATATGGACTGTGGAATATATTATTGTTATATAAAACATTTTCCATGATTGCAATGTACTGTTTTTTTTTTTTTTACTCGACTGCTAGAGCGTTGTGAAACTATATAATATCCACTTAACAATTAAATCATCTGTTGACAGAAATTTGAATGCTGGAATAGTATGAACTTGGGTTGTACAGTGTACACCATGAGTGGAACGAAAAAAATAATTAAAAACATAATTATTGTATATTATACCTACTTGAATATATTTTTGCATTATGAATGAGTATATTACAACTTTTGTTTTACACATAATTAAACTATTCATTAAACTTTAAGTTGAAACTAAATTGCTTAAGAAAAAAAAAAACATATTTTAAAGATTCGAGACTTGTTATAACTAGACAATCTAGTATACTGATATAATTTTATTTTTCGATTGTATTAATAATCAAGAGTCAGGTTTTTATTAATCTATAATAAAATTTAAAAAATGTAATTGGGTTATAGTTTCAAAGCAATACGCGTTTTTAATGAAGTATATAAATCATACGTGTAGTGAACTGGAAGAATTATCAGAAGTATATAATTTTTTTCCTTTTTGAAATAAAAGTAGTGTATCTCTTTTACTTCCAGAACACTCAGCTTCGCCGAATCGCAATTGCTTACAAGTACCAAATAGGGATAAACAACTTAAGGGTCGGTACATTTTCGGAAATACCCACTAAAAGTATTCATTCCTAAGTATAGTATTCATTTTTTTTCTACATGAAGAGACCTTTCAAATTTTATTTCATTTCGAAACAAATAAAAAAGATTAAGTCAAAGATAAAAAAAATGAGTTTGGGGCTATGTTTTGCACGGGTTTCAATAAGTACTCTGCACTGTTATTTGCAAAAATTAAATTTTAAACATTATGTAATTATTTTATACTATTCTTTAGCAATGTTAAGGGTTAAAAGTAATATTTTTCACATTCTGTAAAAGGAAATGTAAAACATCATTAAATCTTCCGGATCCTTGTTCGACCGGATATCTAGGACAAAACCCAAATTGTTTGGAGTACAAGCATTTTATCTCTTTGTGCATTAGTATTTTTTTTTTTACAAATATTTACACCAAAAATGTTATCGCTAACAAAGAAAACTGCAGTGGTTTATAATTAAATTAAAATTGTTGTATTTTTTTTTTTTTTTTACAAAATTTTTTCCCAAATTTTTTTCTATTTTTTCGTTAAATGACGGAATTTTTTTATCATTTATATAAGATTAAAAAAAAGGTCTGTATTTGGATATGATTTATGTTTGACGGATATTTATTCGTAGATACTATTATGTATGCGGCCCACTCTGTATTGTCTTATACTCTAATGTTTATAAACATTATTTAATAGCAGTGTCATAAATGTATAGTAATATTACATACGTATAACACCGGTTAGGTATAAATTATGAATATTACGAACACTTAATAATAAAAATAATTCAATTTAATTAAAGTTATTAAAGGTCAAACAGTTCTAATACTCTGGTCCGTTTTTAAATAACAAATATTAATATATATTATGTTATTTATTACGGAAGTTTGAAAATTTTAAACGATACGTTTTTCTTTCAAAATTATACCACTTAATAGCTTATATAACTACTTATATTACACGCATCGTAAAATATATTGCAATAAGGTTGGTCCGTTTCTTATTTTATGGTTTTAAATACTTTAGACTTTACGTAGTTAATAAAACCCGTCTTACCAGGCACATCAATTCCAATTTACTATAAACGTATAATATTTTTTATGGTCCTTTCGCTCGGAACTTTCTGCAGTTTGTTCAGTTGCAATACCCCTACCATTCAGCATATTTTTTACGTCACCAAAGCTGTTAAATACACCATTCTTTCGCATTTTACTTTTAGCATTATATATTTTATCTTGTATAGTTAAGTTTAAATTGTAATTAAAAATAAATACATTGACATCGCGTGTGCCGAAGGTAAAATATGTAATCCACCACTAATTATTTTACCATCAGTCCGACGACGTTATATTACAATTCCAGTGGTTTTTGAGTAAATTAAATTTCAATTTTACGAATAATTACATTAATTTGTWTAATTTGTATAGTATATATTATACGTTCACACRTGAATACAATAGGTACATATAGTTTTATCTTAAATAATAAAATGTAAATGTATCTACCATCATACGATTGAATACCATTGAATTAAATGTTATTTCTAAACATTTGTAATCGTAATAATTTCTTTTACATATTATAATTCGTGTAATATTCATATTTAATGACATAATGATAATCTTAGTCTTATATAAAAGTAATGTCAAATTTACAAAAATCTGTTGACTATTGCATATGTTTTGTGCACTTATTCCAATTAGTTGTGTGGTGATATAARTATTACTATACCATATTATACTTTTTTTTATTAATAATAAATGATAATATATTCATTTTTGTCGAATTGCATTGTAATTTGTATTTTTTCAAGTACTTATATAATATTATATTGTTTCTAGGTTGTCCTAAAAAACTATTTTAACATATTTTATTTTTATACATTCTACCCGTCATCGCCACTACTGTTATTGCAGTCAGCTGCAGCAATCCAACATAGTTATTGCGTACTTACACGATTTGTTAGATCAAATTGTTATTTAATAATAATTTACCAAATATAGGTACAATGTTTATTGCTTGTTAATTTATTTATTTTTTGTATTCGCACAATAAAAAATCAAGTGATTATAATAGCMAACTTCGATTCGTATCAATATCGATTCCGCCAAAACAGATAACACACATACCTAGCCGTGCGTAAATATTGATTATCTTACGATACAGTGTCCTAAGCCAAACGAAATTGTATGGTCATATAGTCTGATACTCGTATGATATTTATCTTAATAACAGATTTTTAATTGGATGATAAGAACAAGATAAAGCATAGAGACCCTTAACTTGTTAGAATTATAATTCACGGTATATAGGTAATAATTTTTTAGTAACAATAATATATAGCACCTTACGGCGTTGTGGTAGGCATAGTCTACAAATTTAATATTTGTATCTCATCAGTAGGTACAGTACATTTTACTAAAAACAAATAAGTATACTTATTATTCCTTTTCAGTATAGTGTGATGAATGATGATGTATTCAACAAATAACAATTAATATTTATTAAAGTTAAATATATAAACCATCATCTTGTTCCAAGAAAAATGTTTAAGACAATGTCAATACATCAAATTTAAATTTTGTTTACGATAATTCTACCGTAGAATATCTCATTAAAAGTAATTCAGCTCATCGACTTAATTCTGCTACRGTTATAATTTTACGTCRCGTATATTATTATTTTAATCGTATTTTGTATGACGAAATTTACTAAAGAATTATTATAGAATGTACGTTGTTTGTTTAATTATAATTAGTAAATGCACCTATTATTATAGTGCGTGTAAAGTGTACAATATTATGTCTCATGTTATAATGTCGAATTTATAAAAACAGTATTTTAAGGTAGGCTTATAATATTCTCATATTATAATATAATCTGCAGAGGTTTATATGTTTGTATTTATCCGCTTTTATTATTTATCATGCTTTTTTGGTTTAAGGTATTTCGTAGACTTGAGCTTTCTCTATACCTCTATATGTTGTAACTTGTTGTATTTAACTATATAATATGTAATACTATACGATTTATACCATTTAATGTTCGTAAACTATATATATATGCATTTTATTTGAATATATTTTATATAATTTGACAGTCAAAAAGTTGTATTCTAGAAATCGTAATGATGAAATGTGTTTCTATAATTTTAGAAGTGCGACAAGAAGCTGTACAACAAGCTCTGGCCGCTATGCAATCTCGGCCTAAACCGTCGTTGCCAATGCCCAGCAAACGAACTTCGGTTATGGCGAGAAGTCCTGATCGGTCAGCCACTGCACGTAACGAAACCGGTGAGCAAATATAACCTAACCTAACCTACTGTTACCTATACATGTATTCAGCTCGGATATGGAATGAACCAAAATGTCATTAAAATATGCGTTTAATAAAAGTCAAAATATGAAATTATATAATGTCCCATCATAAACTATATTAAATACCTATTTTTTCAACAAATATATGCAAAACAATTAAACAAGAGTTAACATTAATTTAAAAAAATATATTAATATACTCCCGTGTATTTAAAATTACTTTATTACAAAATACACTGCAGCTAAATATGAAAAAAAATATTAATAAATAGTTTCCGATCTATTAAAATTAAATTGTACATTATATAAGTTTATTACTTTATTAAGTATCAGGATTACACTATTTAACAATTATTTTTTGATATTTTAAAATTTGATAGATCTTCAGCGATCCGATAATATGTCTTTATAAATCGAAAACKATCGCTTTTCACGTCTACATTGTTGTTCGGTGCATACTTGAATTTAACAATGTTGTTAGTTTACGTAGCCACTGAGTCACTGGTTTATAAATATTTAATCTCCTAATTTTATGAGTGTGTTACACATTAACACGGTAATAAAACAAAGGATTTTTTTACGATGATAAATGAYAATATAGACAATTTTTAATATTATACTTATAATTTTAAATTTATAAAAATAAAAATAAAAATAACAAGTATACAAAAATATGCAAAATAAGTTTACATATTAGTAATCTAGACTATGAATCGAATTTATATATCATACTCGAGTGTACTGGTTTCGCGAAAAACATATGTAAATTTATAAACATCCGAGCTCTATTTTTCTATACTTATTATTAAAACCACCAATATATTATTATTATACGTAATTAAGAGGGGGTAGTGGATGGGGAAGAGGATGTCCGACTTTCTTATTTTTAAACCTGACCGAGCCCAACCGCTGATAAAGTTACCTTTTTTACGCATAAATCGTTAATGATTTCCTATGTCGCACATGTGTTTTCAGATTCGAGCTCGGATGACGATAGCGTCGGCGACCACATACCTGACCGAGGAGAAGTCAAAGACCGTGGTAGTGGTGGACGCGAACGCAGCAGCGGAGCGGATACCAGTAGTACCGGTGGGTCTGCTAGAGACACGCCGCCACATCCAAAGACTGTCGCTGCTGCTACTACCACTGTCGCTGCCACTACAATTCCTCCTTCTACTGCTCACGGACCGCAACATCAGCCGCCGCCGCCGTCGGTGCAGCAACACAGACACCATCATCATCACCACCACACCAAGTGAGCACGAAAACGTTATATTTTGTATTTTTTCGGTGAAACTCCGCGGTCGGTTTTCCTATAAAAATGCCATATGCTGCATCGCTGAGATCTTATTACATTTTATTCGTTGACGGAATTGATGATTTTACGGTTTTACAGGATTCCTAATGGTGCGCCCGGWGGCGGGGTGTCCGGAAACAGCGGTTCCGGTGGTTATTGGGATGAGTCCAGGACGATTATCGAGACTCCTCCCAAGGAGCAGGATAAAATCAAACGCAATAAGCCCGAGGTGACTGAAGTGGCTGACATGTTGCACAACGTCCGACCTCCATGTGAGCATTAGAACATGATGTTTTACTATTACGACGCCCATAAAATAAAATGGCGCTCATATAATATACTGCCGTTGACAGTTTTGTATTTCAGTGCGTTGTTATATATATATACGTTTACGTATCTTTCAGACCCTCAACCTCCAGACGTTACGAATAACGTGACGCAGTCCAGAAGATACACACCTGCGGACCGTGTAAATCGGTACAGCCGAGATTCCAGACAATCGTCCAGCGACGATGGAATGGGCACGGTATCCAGCAGCGGCCGTTGGAAAGTGTCTGCCAAAATTCAACAGCTGTTAAACACACTCAAGCGACCCAAACGGCGGCCCTTGCCTGAGTTCTACGAAGACGATGACGTCGAACTTGAGATCGCGGCCAACCCTAAGGATCCCAACGCACCGCGACCAGAGGGCGCCTACATGTCTCCGGCTTTGGGCGAACCGCTATCCGTGAGTACCATAAAGCGAAAATAACAATCAATTTTGATTTGCTCGAAACTAAATAATAATATTTTTACAATCATCCCCTCAGGTGCCATCAGGACTTCCTCGTAATTTGGAAGCTGCTCTGCAACGCTATGGTTCGAGTACGTTCAAAGCTCCCGTAGCCACTGTATTGGATCCTAATGGAAAATTAAGCATCACACTTACTTATGGTAATACTTTGTTTTTAGTTCAATATTACATTGTTGTTTTAGYACATATTTTATTCATATTATACAAGGTCATTTTTGCAGTTTAATACCTTAAAAAATATTTAAAAAAATAAAAAATGTATAGTTTAATTTAGATATATTAAAATTATCAAAAAAAATATCTGTACAATAATTAAAAATGAAAAAGGGAGTTCTTATTTTAAAAATGGAAATTTGTATTGTCACATTCTTAAGTGATACAAACAATTTCTAGGATTCATAAATAGGGTCTTCAAGTATATTTAAAAATCAAAATTTAAATGTAATATGTATAATTTGAGCATGAAAATAAGTTGTACATGCTTAAAAAATCACTTAGTATATATTATTTTATACCTATTACCTACTTATTATTATTTTTTTATTTCAGGTAAACTTCTTAGCAGATCTCACAAAGTGGCCTATACTCTCCTAAATCGTCCACTAGTCAAGGGTAACGGTGGTGGAGAGTGCTTAAAACACGGTGACCGTGTAGCTCTAGTCTATCCAAACAGCGACCCTCTAAACTTCCTGTGCTCTTTTTATGGTTGTATATTTGCTGGAATCGTACCTGTGCCAATTGAAGTGCCATTAACTCGCAGGGATGCAGGGTCACAACAAATAGGATTTCTATTAGGTAGCTGTGGTGTCCAAGTAGCCTTGACATCTGATGTATGTCTAAAAGGTCTTCCAAAAACTGCTACTGGCGATGTAGTAGCGTTTAAAGGCTGGCCAAAGTTGCATTGGTTTGTCACCGAACACCTACCTAAGACTCCTAAAGACTGGTGCCCACCACCTCACATTGGTGAAGACACTCCGTCTTACATAGAATACACCACTGATAAAGAAGGTTCTGTAATGGGTGTAAGTGTAAGTCGCACGGCTATGTTAAATCAGTGCCGTGCTCTGAGCCAATCTTGTAATTATACCGAAGGCGACACCATGGTATGCGTTCTTGATTTTAAACGTGAAACTGGTCTATGGCATTCTGTTTTAACATCTATCTTAAATGGCATGCATGTGATTTATATCCCATATGCTTTGATGAAAGTCAACCCAGCTTCTTGGATGCAAATGATTACAAAATATAGAGGTAAATTTTTATCACTTTAAGTTTATAGATTTTTACTATATGAATCTTATAAATATTTCAGCAAGTGTAGCAGTAGTTAAATCTAGAGACTTGCATTGGGGTCTTTTGGCRACCAAAGACCATAAAGATATTGTTCTTAGTTCATTGAGATTATTGTTGGTCGGTGATGGAGCTAACCCATGGTCTCTGTCATCTTGTGATCAATTTTTGGCTGTTTTTCAATCAAAAGGCTTACGACCAGATGCTCTTTGCCCATGTGCTTCATCAAGTGAATGTCTCACAGTTTCTGTCCGGAGGTAAATTTTGTGATTTTAAATTTTAATGTAATAAATTTTTTTTTGAATAATTATATTTATAACTTTTAGGCCTGGTAGAGCTGGAGTTAATGCAACTGGGCGTGGTGTTTTGTCTATGTCAGGCTTAAGTTATGGTGTTGTTCGTGTGGACCAAGAAAATTCACTTACTTCATTAACTCTTCAAGACTGTGGACAAGTTATGCCCAATTGTTCAATGGTAGTTGTTAAAATGGATGGCATACCTTATATGTGTAAAACTGATGAAGTTGGAGAAATTTGTATGGGCGGACTTAGTACGACTACATGCAATTACTGGGGACTTCCAGGCTTATCAAATGCAACATTTAGAGTTGCACCCATTGGAGAAGATGGAAAACCAATTAACGATACAATTGAATATACGAGATCAGGTCTCCTTGGATTCCTTGGACCTGGTGGGCTAGTATTTGTGTGTGGATCTCGAGATGGTCTCATGACAGTTACTGGACGTAAACATAATGCAGACGATATAATTGCCACCGTTTTGGCTGTGGAACCAATGAAATTTATATATAGAGGAAGAATTGCTGTATTTGCTATACGTGTATTGCGTGACGAACGTATATGTGTAATTGCTGAACAACGACCGGAATGCAGTGAAGAAGAAAGTTTCCAATGGATGTCAAGAGTACTTCAAGCAGTTGATTCTATCCATCAAGTTGGGCTATACTGTTTAGCATTAGTACCACCCAATTACCTTCCCAAGACACCTTTAGGAGGAATTCATTTATCTGAATGCAAAAGAAGATTTTTAGATGGAAACCTACATCCGGCTAATGTACTAATGTGTCCTCACACATGTGTCACAAACTTACCAAAACCGCGAGAAGTGCATTCAGGTATCTATTATTGAATTATATATATGCATTTGGGGATCGGGGCAGAAATAAAAAAAAAGTTTTCATATAATTTTGCCTAGTTGGCGGGACTGTTTCAGACGTGGGACCCGCTTCAGTGATGGTTGGAACAATAGTACAAGGCAATCGTTTGGCTACAGCGCAGGGGCGTGATATTGGCATCATTGATATGGAGTCAGATTCTAACAAAACTGTAAGAAAATATTCTCATATAATAATATCTAATAAAATTAAATAATCTATTAGGAAAATCTAAATCAACTATGGTTTAATTTTTTCAGTATCTTTTCATATCAGAAATATTAAAGATGAGGGCAATTAGAGATCCCGATCATGTGATATTTACTTTAGTGAATGCAAAAGGTGGTGCAGCTGCCACATTGACTTGTTCACAATTACATAAACGAGCAGAAAAAGTTTCCAACTTGTTGAATGAGCGAGCCAAAGTGAATACCGGTGATCATGTTGCGCTTATTTTTCCACCAGGAATTGATCTCATTTGTGCATTTTACGGTTGTTTATATGTCGGTAAGCTTAAAAATAAAATTGTTATAATACAAACATTTGTATTAGAATACTATTAAAAATAATATTATGTTTTAGGTGCTGTTCCTGTGACAATACGACCTCCTCATCCACAAAACCTTCAGACTACTTTACCAACTGTACGAATGATTGTAGATGTAAGCAAGTCTACATTAGTTTTATCCAATCAAAATATTATAAAACTTCTCAAGTCTAAAGAAGCTAGCAATGTGGTGGATGTAAAATCATGGCCAGCAATTTTGGACACTGACGATATGCCAAAGAAAAAAATTGTACCCTCTTACCGAGCACCTACTGCTGAACTTCTCGCTTATTTAGACTTCAGGTACACTAAAATAATTTTTAAATAATAATAACATTTTGTTTATATTTATTTTATTTATATTTACAGTGTTTCTACCACTGGGATGTTAGCTGGAATTAAAATGTCTCATGCTGCTGTTACWTCATTGTGTAGATCCATGAAATTAGCATGTGAACTTTATCCATCAAGACATATTGCCTTGTGTTTAGATCCTTACTGTGGTTTAGGATTTGCTTTGTGGTGCTTAAGCAGGTGTGTATTTATTATTTACCGGTAAAGTGTATTCAGTATGTCTTAATGTCACAACTTATAATTAATTTCAGTGTATATTCTGGTCATCATTCAATTCTCATACCTCCATCAGAAATTGAAATAAACCCTGGTTTATGGCTCACAGCTGTTAGCCAATATCAAGTTCGAGACACATTTTGTTCTTATGGTAATTTATAATTAAATTTATTGATATAGATTTAGCTGTATTTCAATCAATGTTTGTAACGTTCACTAAACAATTTAATTCATTCATGTTCAGTGCTTGAAAATTAATTTTTAACTGATACAAAATTTAAATTCATTAAATTATTGTTGTTGCTGTATAATGTCGAGTCGTGCATTCATTTCATATTTTTATTTTTATAATTTATATTTGAATAAATATTAAATGAATATTATAATAGAAAAATGTATAATATTTTAATAATATTATTAATCAATATTTTTTATTCAAACGCATTATGAGGACACTACACCCACATGTGTGTTTCCATCTTACAAATGTAAAACATAATGAAAATTGTTTTSCGTGGGAAAGAACCATTCAAGCTCTAATCCTAGATAAGCAACCAAATTTTCACTCTATAAAAAGGAGAATATTGAAGTTTGAAAAACTCAAAATTAATGAATTTTTATACAATAAGAACTTTTTTGGTATTTGTGAAATCAAAAAATTAAAAACAATGTCGCTTAGTAAATATTCTTCTCTTTATAGTGTGAACATTTGGTTGCTTAACTTGAATTACAGCATGAGTGGTTCTTTCCCACGCTAAACAGTTTTTGCAATGTTTTAAATTTGTAAGACAGAAACTACACATGCGGGTTTAGTGTCCTCTTATTTTTGTCAAATAGTAAATAAATTTTAACGTCTAAATCTTTTAAATTCATTAAAAATATAATCGCCATTCACATTTACGTTCTATTTGAATGAACAACTGATGTTTCCATATCCTTCTCTAAATATTAACTCGGATATGCATTCATGAACAACATTCTTTCCAAACATTGATAACAATAAATTTACAATCATTTTAATATTATAATTAATTATATATTTTATTTCATATAGGTGTCATGGAACTATGCACTAAAGGTTTGGCTTCATCTGTTGGACTTTTGAAACAACGAGGTGTGAATTTAGCATGTGTACGAACATGTGTTGTGGTTGCTGAAGAAAGACCTCGAATAAACCTGACAACATCATTCTCAAAGTTATTCTCTGCTCTTGGACTTAGTCCCCGTGCTGTGTCTACCAGTTTCGGATGTCGTGTAAATGTAGCCATATGTTTGCAAGGAGCTTCCAGTCCAGAACCGTCTTGTGTATATGTTGACCTMCGAGCTTTAAGAAATGATCGAGTTTCSCTGGTGGAACGCGGTAGCCCGCATTCGTTGTGTTTGCTCGAATCAGGAAAATTGTTACCTGGTGTTAAAGTTATCATTGCACATCCAGACACTAAGGGTCATTGTGGCGATTCACATCTGGGTGAAATTTGGGTACAAGCACCACATAATGCTAGTGGATATTTTAGTGTATTTGGGAATGAAATATCAGAAGGTGGTAATGGATCTGAACAGTTCAATGCACGACTAGTCACTGGTAGTACAGGCGAAGTTTACGCTAGAACTGGTTATCTTGGGTTTTTAAGGCGTACTGAATCAACATCAACACCATCAAGTATTGCGTTACATTCAACAGACACTATTGACATAATGTCACTTAGTGATTTATCACTTGCCTCGTCTAACCAATCAACACTAAGTAGCAACACAACTGCTCCTGCTGAATTACCAGGTATGTAACATTATTGCTTAAAACTTTAAGACAATGCAATAATGGTTTGAAAAAAAAAATTCTACAATGTTTTTTAAAAAATAATGTAAGATAAATTTTACTTGTATATAAACACAAGATTATTTATTTAGTTTTAATTTTTTTATTGTGTAGTAGTTAATATATAAAAAAATTACTTTTCCTGAAAGTAAGACAGTAGCAGTTGAGTGTTTAATCAAAGAAAGTAAAGTTAGTAAAGTTGAAATAAATGCATTTTATGTCCATCTATTTAAGACGGTAAATAAATTAAACAAAAAAAAAAAATCATCTAATATTATATAATTAACTTAAAACTATATAAAAATATTTAAAAACTGTTGTTGTATCATTTCTAATTGAATCAAAAAGAGATGAATACTTAAATAAGTTTGATCAAATAATAAGTGTGCTAAAGAATGTATGCATATAGGAACGGATGATTTTTTTCTCCGAAATAATTAACTCTAATTGGGTAATCTTATTATTAAATTATTAAAGTAACATCTTTAAAGATTTTTCTGCATTTTCCATACCTTTTTAGTAGCTTAAATTGATTTTAAACATTGTGTCATATTTTTATTCATTCAGAGCTTCATGATGCTGTTTTTSTGGTTGGTGCTCTGGATGAAACAATTATTCTACGAGGCATGCGTTATCATCCGATCGATATTGAAAACAGTGTAATGCGATGTCATCGAAAGATTGCAGAATGGTAAGATGTTTTATGGTTTACTATAATTACTTTTAATTTTTATTATTTAATATTAGAGTTTTTGATATTAATCCAACTATATTTTGATTTTAGTGCTGTGTTTGCTTGGACCAATCTCTTAGTAGTTGTGGTTGAGCTGGATGGAAATGAAAGCGAAGCACTTGACTTAGTACCATTAGTGACCAATGTGGTACTTGAAGAACATCATTTAATTGTTGGCGTTGCTGTAGTAGTTGATCCAGGCGTGGTGCCAATAAATTCACGCGGCGAAAAACAACGCATGCATCTACGTGATGGCTTCTTAGCTGATCAACTTGACCCTATTTATGTAGCATATAACATGTGATCGCCTCTACATCAAGGGGTTTAGTTTTGTTTTTTAGATAAATTTATAGTTGTGATATACAAAATTATTATTATATTATTATTATTACAACAATACACGTTAAATAGAAATCTTAATTATAATCGAATTTAAAAAGAAAAAAATTTCAAAACCAGTAGACTATATTATTATTATTGAATCTGATTTCAATGTATAATAATTGTATGATAGATGATTTATAGATTATTTTATTTTTGTTATTTTAAGTTGCCATATTGTGCGTCTGATGGTTGTGATAAAATTTCGGGCCACCATTTCACCCTTTCATTTTTTTTTTCTTTAATAATATATCTGTATGTATGACCTAGTCATATGTTAAAAACTTAAAATATAAATTTAAAAAAAAAGACATAATTATAACCATTTAACATTGCGTAGCTTTTTATTCTTTATTATACGTAATAAACATTTATATATATATATTAATATATGAATTATGTGCAATCTTAATTGATAATATTATTTGTGACTAGTGTGCGTGTGTGTGCATGTAACACACGCATGTACCATACACGTCAACCTCACCATGTCTCAGTGTTTTTGTACATATTATAATAAATTTAGTATATATTTATATACATATTTATGCATTTATGCATAAGTAACTATTGTGAATCGTGCACTGTGTATGAACGTGTGTTTTGTTTTATTTATAATTTTAGACTCATATTTTCTGTACACAGTAAATAATAGATGCCAACATGTGTATTAGTGCTCATCATTTTGATTACCTTTAATATAAAATATATAATTGAAACTTTGGTTGTACCTTCTGTGAGTGCATATATATGTGTGTGAGTGTTGTGTGCGTGTTTTTTTATGTATAAATAAAAAAAAATATATAATATAACAAGTGTTGATTTTTATTTTCTACTATATTCTATTGAACTGCTTGTCATAATGTACCTTACATGGTTATCATTGGGTACATTTAAACAATTTTATTTAATCCTTTAATTTAATGTTGATTATCAGTTGGTAATTGAAAGTATATATTCAATTATTAGAATAAATCATTTTTTGATAAGCATATCTATTGAATGTATTGATCAACGATAACAAATATTTAATAAATAACTTTTAATATAGACAAAATTAACCATCTAGTCAATTTATTGGTAGTGACGTCATAGGAAGACATWGCTCTTCCTTAATTATTTGAAGTAACTGTTTATATCATATTATGTAATGGATGGAGCTATATTGTGTGTATTGCTCTCATAATACCAAGTTGTGTAATCCACTCCAGCTATTTAATTTTAAGGAACATTGTACATGTGTTGCACCAACAATCACTATAAAATAATTATTAATAGGTGGTTGAGGTAGAGGGTTTGGTTGTGCACAGCAAATATTTCCATCCATTGTATGTGATCTAAGGGTTTCTGTCACTAGACTGTGTCCTCTTCAAACCATGTGGGTCATATTTTTTTCAATGTCAAAAAAAAAAAAATTTTACATGWGATATAATATTACACAGTAATTGTATTGCTATTGTATATGATTATTTTATGTTCTATTTTCTAAGAAAAAATTAAATAGAAGAAAATTGTAAATTTTTAAATTAATGGGATTTCTGTGTCTGCAATTTATTAGTTAGTTTTTCGATATTAGTCTTAAAACCTGTTGTTGAAACTCTTAATACAGCGTGAAAATGTTCAACACTAAGGCATGAAGAATGCTTATTTTTTATGTACTTAACAATTGAAAATGTCTGCTCACATATTATAATATATTATGTATTTGTTAACACCACTATAAGTTTTTGTGCGAATTGTCTGATTCCCGAGAATTTAAAACCAATGGAAAACAAGAAAACACAGAATGCAAACCTAACCATTGTTATATTCTGTGACCTAACCTAACAAACACAAAGTAACTATGCCTGCCTGCAGTAGTGCAGAAATCGTTTTCTTCGACTCCGACCATTTTTATATAGCATAAACATGAAGCGTAGACGATTAGATAAGATTTTATTTTGAATGCCAAAAGAATTAAATTATATGAAAAATATTATCGAACAAAAATTAAACTCACAAATCAACYAATTTTGTGCGGGCCATACAAAATCGCTTCGCGGGCTGCCAACCACTGATATAGACTATATAAATATATAATAATACCTATATGATGTAGAAATGTTTATAGACACTTTTATATTATACGGAAAAAAATTGTCTTATTGTGCGATATGTGTTACAGATTTCGAATAGGTATTATTTTATTAATAATAAAAAAAAAAAATGATATTTCAAGAGTTTTTGGACAACCATAGGCGTACTTCAATTTTTGGTCCAGCCTGTAACAATTATAGTKCTCTGGCACTTCGAAATGCCCTATTTTTGATTTGTTTTTTACACATTAACATATCTTCATACATTCTARTTATTTTAAACGAATAATTGTGTTATTGATATTGATCAGAATAAAATTAATGATAATGTCTCATGATATTTTACGGCACAGTGCAGAATCTAAAATATTATAAATATTATTTAACAGTCGACATTGGTAGGCATCGATTAGATTATTTAGAAGGCAGTGCACGGTCTTTTTAATAGGTCCACTTCAACGGCCTCCCCACTTTCAACATTTGAATTTAAGATTGAGCCAAACATTTATGAATTGTTTGGGCATTAAGCCCCAACGTTTGTGTACTAAAATTTCCAGCAAAATTCCAAAAACCAATTGGAGAGGGTTGAAACGRAACCCCTCATTTTTTTTTAATTTTAAATATTATTTCAATAATAAATGTTGAAGACTGGATTTATTATTATACCATGTAAACGCCTAGAAATAAATGGTACATAATTTATATTTAAATTTTGTATTGTATATGAATAATTTATGATTTGTYTTGTTTGTTGAGTAATATTGATACGAGACATATTCTGGAAAAATATAATGGAGCTTAATGTTTTTTTTGCATTAAAAAAACTTTGAAAACATAATAGTGTTCGGATAACAAAACAAAAATAATAATCATCCATCCACATATTATCGTGTTTTAACTATATATTTTTAAGTAATTAAACTGACTTAGTGTGATTGCTGCACACTCCATATTAAAAAGACTGACACCTATTACAGACCACTGTGGTTAATAGCCAGTAGGTAGGTAGGTATTCAAACTGAGTATGTCTGGTGTAATATTTGGTGAGGTAGTAGAGGTTGTCGTTATTTCTAAATTGAAATTATAACTGTTCTTCACACACCCGTGCAATTTACTGTTACAACTAATGGATGGAACATTTTCGTTATAATTCTTCTAACGTAAATTCACATTCTGAGTCATCGTCGTCTGTCAAATTAACTTGCGGAGAGCTGGCAGTTGAATATTGATCTACGATATCAGTCGCAACTCGCAATTCTCTCTTGTCAAATCTCAAAACGTACGCCTTGTGCAGTGCAACTATTTTATCCATAGTTGTAAGTATCATCTTTTTTGCGGTATAGTAGCCAAAATAAATGTATAAGTACCTATGTTCTTAACTTCATAAAAATCTTCACGTACTATAATTTAACCAATCGCTTGTACAATGAAATATTTAATCCATTTATTACCTACTGAACGACTTGCAATTTGTGACAAATTTAATTACATAGACGATTGAAACATCATTCAATGTAAGATGTAATATATGGCATTAAACCGAGTAAAAATTAACGGCTGCTGCCTGCTAGTATCAAAGCTAATRAAATTTACGTTACTACCTACTTATTTCGGCTTTTGGGTTCCATCTCGAATTCAGTTTTCTCACCGATGGTGAATAGAATTTTTATCGTGCTTTTCACGAATCGTAATTTTAACCACACAATATATTTTTGAATGTCTATACTGAGACGCTATGACATGACCCAAAATTTGACAATCTGMTACTTGTAAAAAAAAAGTAAAAAACTTATTAGCTTATTAGWTTATTTTTTATTTTTTTGTTTTTATTCGTTTTTATGTCTGCTTGCATCTTTTGAGCCAAAAAACTCTTTGAATTTCTACTTCGTTTTCGTTTTGGTAAGAAAGTGAATCTAGTCGGTACTTTAATCTGTTCAAATGTAAAAAATTCTTAGTTCTTCCAATAGCGTTGAAAAATCAGTTTCGGGCTGAATCAATTTTAGATTTTAGTTTTTTTTAGTAACTCAAACCAAATCAATCATAATATATAGATACATCAAATTTTCACAAAATTTTTTTATAACAATTTTCAATACGCCACAAAATGATAATAAATAATTATATAATCATGACAATTTTTGTAGCTATTTACAAGTTTAATGCTTTTTAAAATTATTATCGATAAAATATTAAAAATGTAAAATTGGCCCCTTGACTTTGTCCGATTAATTCGACAAGTATGGCAATATTTATCAAACTAATTGCAAATAATAGTAGATTTATTTCAGAATTTGCAAATAAGTYTTTAAATTATTATAAGTTAAAAACCATTACAGTGGAACAACTTCATGGTGTCCCTTGAATTTTCAATATCTCATTATTGTTTTATAACTGTTAGTATTTGTATCTCATTTAGGGTTGGTGCTAACGGAAATTCCTAGAATTACCGTCAGTTGAGCGTAGMCAATTGAGCGAAGACTGTTAAGCGCGTGACAATTAATCTCTGAGACAATTGAGCACAATATAAACCTTAGTACAAGTCATAAGTATATTATATAATATCTATGTTTATTGTAAATAATGTTTATGGTGATTTATAATTTATATTTAGTCATAGTGTGGCCAATTTGAGTAAATACAAAATATCAAATAAAAAATGTATAATATTAATTGGTAAATAATAATAATTTTAAAAATAAACTWAGTTATAGTACATTTATAATACATTATGTCAAAACAAGACAAAATATCAAATAAGGTTAAATTAGTAAATATTTTGATCAATGCCTTTTAAAAAGTGCTCTGTTGATCTCGAATGAAATTATTCATAAATATTTTTGATTCTTAATCCTGAATCTTTGTATTTTTAGTTTTGGGTCATTTCCTGCTATAAACTGGTAGATTTTCACAACGATTCAACTTTCCTCTTAAAATAAAACGTCGATAAATTTCCAAATTGATGAATGGACTGCATTCACATTTTTTTAAATAAACAATTATATATTTTTTCTGTTTTATTTAGAAGAAAGGCAAAAACGGATGGTAAAATATTATTAAATTGTACGTCGTGAATCGTATATAACTGGTAGAAAATACTAGGTGACGATGAAAAAGTACCATCAACGTACAAATGTTCGCAGTCAACCATCATATCGAGATTTTCTGTAGTTGAAAAAATTAATATCGGTTGAATTTCTTGATTTTGTGAGTTACTATCATACAATA